GAGAAGCCAAGTTACAGGGAACCAGGCAGAGGGCCTTCTCAGTAGTGGCACCCGTGGAACACCCTCCCATCAGATGTCAAAGAGAACAACAACTACCAGACTTTTAGAAGACATCTGAAGGCAGCCCTGTTTAGGGAAGCTTTTAATGTTTGATGCATTACTGTATTTTAATATTTTGTTGAAAGCCACCCAGAGTGGCTGGGGAAGCCCAGCCAGACGGGCGGGGTATAAATTATTATTATTATTATTATTATTATTATTATTATTATTAACTACAGGCTTGGTGAGGTCAATGGGGAGAAGAGTGGGAGTCTCAGTGAGGACAGAAGGAAGCGAGGCTTGGAGAGACCTTGAGGGCAGTGAAAGCTTTGGTGAAGGCGTAGAGAGGCTGGCATTCCTTTGCATCACCAGCACTGGGCAGGAGGCAAAGGAAAAGCAGGGGAAGACTGTAAAATGTTGACAGGATCAGCTCAGGGCAGGCTTTGCGGCCCTTCACATGCTCCCTCTTTCTTGACATGTGGATTGCCCTGCCCCCCCCGTCAAAGTTGGCCCACAATGTTCCCCACCCCTGGTCTAATGGGTTGGTGGGGAGGGTGAGGCCTGTGAGAATTAACTGGTAAGGAAAAGTCAGGAAGATGGAATAGGGGACCATCTAAATGTAACCTGTAACACAACAGCTTCAGTTGCAGCAATGTTCAGTATCGCTACAGCACTTTTTGGGGAGACTGTCACTGCAAAGGGCATCTGTGTTTACCACTGGTTCACATGGTGAGTTTCTACAGGTAATTACATCCCTGGGGATGGTTTGCCCAGAGGAAAGACAGCTGCAATTGACTGCATAAATGTTTCAGCGGCTGCACCAGTCTTTTTGGATATCTTTGCCCCAAGAGACACAGATGACTCCCTATCTCTGGTCGTCTTTCACAACAGACATTTCGATGTCAGACAACTTTCACCTGCTAGGGTCATTCTTACCCACAATCACAGCCATGGTTGCTTATGAATGGATTTTTATATATAAATTGTAGCTCGTTTTAAGTATTTTAATGAAGAGCGCAGAACAGAGGCAGCTGGAAGGAAGAGGACGCAAACACTGTACCAGAGGGAAACCTTTGAGTGAGTTTGTGCTCCCATAGAGCTAGCTATTAGCATATCTTTAAATACTAGGCACTGGTGTATCCCTGTGTGACAAAGAGAGTGCTGTAAATTCAAAACAAAAGTTGTGGAATTATTCCCCTTGCAATGTATTGGAATAAATGACTGCAAATTTCTGATAATTACTGATTAGCATTACGCAGTCATGTGGGGTTGATGCCTTTGGCCATATGCGCCTCCAAAGTTCTCAGGTCCCGTTGTCAAAGCAGAAAAGGACACAGGCTTGCAGACGGTGACCTGTCTCTCCATATGGTACCTCATCGCTATGGTAACTGAGCACCTCGCAAACGCTAATGAATTTACTCCCACAGCAACACTGGCATTGGGAAGGATTATGAGATGCTCTCTAGGGCGCATTGTGAAGCTTGCTAGGATTGATTATACCTCCTGTAACTGCATACTAACACCTGACCTCTTCCCCCAGAGGGCAAATGGAGAACTAATGACACTTATGGTACTACTATGGCTTGCTATTCTCGTTCTCCTTTCTACTAACTACCAACATCAAAACTACAGATTGTGACTGGAAAGAAAATATTCCATTTCCTCCATTATTCCACTCCAGTTAACCTCTTAATGATTCATGTATTTCTTATTTAATTTCATTTCACTTATTAACTACATTTCTCTGCTGGCCAACAGCCAAAGCTCTCTGAGCTCTTCAGCAAACCGAGGATAAAAATATAAAATACAATAACATAACAATAAGACTGTGGTGCAAGCTGCGAAAGAAATTAAAAAGACCTCAAGGTAAAATCAACAGCAGAGGAAAACAGGAGTGCACCAACACATTTTCAAAATAGAGGGTGAAAAAGGGAGAACAAGGCGTTTGCTGGCTACGGAAAAGATCACAATGTAGACACCAGTCAGACTTCTCTAGGGAGGGCATTCCAGACTCAGTGGTAGTTACTATATTCTGTAGCGGCGGCTACGTTTGGTGAAACGTGTGAAACATGGACAAACATATGTAAAATACTCCACATATGAACCATAAAGAAAATTATTACAAAACTGATATTCAGATAGTAAAGGTAAAGGGACCCCTGACCATTAGGTCCAGTTGTGGCCGACTCTGGAGTTGCGGCGCTCATCTCGCTTTATTGGCCGAGGGAGCCGGCGTACAGCTTCCAGGTCATGTGGCCAGCATGACTTAGCCGCTTCTGGTGAACCAGAGCAGTGCACGGAAACGCCGTTTACCTTCCTGCCAGAGCAGTACCTATTTATCTACTTGCACTTTGACGTGCTTTCGAACTGCTAGGTTGACAGGAGCAGGGATCGAGCAATGGGAGCTCACCCTGTGGCGGGGATTCGAACCGCCGACCTTCTGATCAGCAAGCCCTAGGCTCTGTGGTTTAACCCACAGCACCACCCGCATCCCTTTCGGACTCAGTGGTAGTTACTATATTCTGTAGCGGCAGCTAAGTTTGGTGAAATGTGTGAAACAGGGACAAACATATGTACAATACTCCGCATATGAACCATAAAGAAAATTATTACAAAACTGATATTCAGATAGTAGTTGACACCTAATGGGATGAGTCAAATAGTGTTGGCAAAGTCACTTAAATAATGCAGATAAAATAGTCCGAAGATAAAAGAAATTCTGATAACACTTTACTAAGCAAACCAGACAAAAAATGGATTCATGAATAGCTTTTAAGATTGTGGAATATGGTTTACGTGATCAAATTCACAGACATAAACAAAACTTGAGCGGGGGCGCAACAACACGATCAACTGAGAGAAAAACGAAGCCCATTTATTCATTTTTCAAAGAATAAAGTTCAGGATATCATTTTTAAGTTCTCCCTATGAGGCATAATCTACTTGGTTGCTGTCTTACATATTACTTGTTACCAGATTATATTCCACATTTATTATTCTATTTAATACAACTAAGCAATACTGCCATCTCTCCTTAACTATTATTATTACAATGAACCCTTTTCTACATTCTGCCATTATTGTTCTTTTATTCGTTTTAAAGCAATTGTTTCACCATGACAGTTTTATCTTCTTGAACTTGCTATTACTGTTGAGGAAGGAAATTGTAGGGAAAATAATTATATTCATAAATAGCACCATGTTTTTACTTATTATTATTATCATCATCATCATCATCATATTGTAAAAAAGATTATTTCATTTTGTCCTATTGCTTATCAACGGCATTGGGTATTATGGGAAGGATAAAAACAGTATATCTTCCAACTTTTTACCATGTTCTAGCTTCTTCATCATGATTAGAATTAGAATTACAGAGCTAAAAGGAGTCACAAAGGGACGAAATCCAGGCAAGGAGTCTATGCAAAGGTTTGCATTGGCAAGTGCTGTGGACTCTGGCCAAATAAAACAAAGGACAGAACCAGAGGACTGGAGAAGCTTCTGAGTTGGGGGGAAATCAATAGGATGGAAAAGAAAAACAGGGGAGAGCATACTGTTGCCTGACGAGTGACACAGGACAAAGAGATTTCAGTCTGCTTTTAAGCTCCCTCCAGTGTCTTATACTTGTAGTCCAGGAGAGCCATAAACCCCAGGAACTTCTGCCCTCCCCATGTCACACTTTAGTCACCCACTTTAAAAAGGTAAAGGTAAAGGTACCCCTGCTGGTACGGGCCAGTCTTGACAGACTCTAGGGTTGTGCGCTCATCTCACTCTAGAGGCCGGGAGCCAGCGTGACGAAGCTGCTCTGGCGAGTCAGCGCAGCACACGGAAACGCCGTTTACCTTCCCGCTAGTAAGCGGTCCCTATTTATCTACTTGCACCCGGGGGTGCTTTCGAACTGCTAGGTTGGCAGGCGCTGGGACCGAGCAACGGGAGCGCACCCCGCCGTGGGGATTCGAACCGCCGACCATGCGATCAGCAAGTCCTAGTCGCTGAGGTTTTACCCACAGCGCCACCCGCGTCCCCTAGTCACCCACTTTAGTCACCTACTAAAAATAGAATAATGCAACAGAAGTGATTTAGAATATAAAGACATCAGTTGCACGTTATCCAGGGAGTTGGAAAAACTTGTTCCTATTCAAATCAGAATTAGGAAACTGTCTGTTTCAGTTTCTCACAGTTTCTCATTTTTGCAGTCTTTAAGCTCAGGTCAATCCATTTCCGCATCTGTAACTTTTTTTTAAAAAAAAAAAAAGATGGCACAGAAAATTTGCCCACATTTTTGTGTGCGTCTATCTTATATTTATTATTACTCGTATTTATAGGTAAAGGTACCCCTGCCTGTACAGGCCAGTCTTGCCAGACTCTAGGGTTGTGCGCCCATCTCACTCAAGAGGCCGGGGGCCAGCGCTGTCCGGAGACACTTCCAGGTCACGTGGCCAGCGTGACATTGCTGCTCTGGCAAGCCAGAGCCGCACACGGAAACGCCGTTTACCTTCCCGCTAGTAAGCGGTCCCTATTTATCTACTTGCATCCGGGGGTGCTTTCGAACTGCTAGGTTGGCAGGCGCTGGGACCGAACAACGGGAGCGCACCCCGCCGCAGGGATTCGAACCGCCGACCTTTCGATCGGCAAGCCCTAGGCACTGAGGCTTTTACCCACAGCGCCACCTGCGTCCCACTCGTATTTATAGCCCATCCTTTATCAAACGGCCTCAGGCTGTTTTACAAAAGTATAATTGAAATAAGTACAATTTAAATGATCACCTAAAAAAAGCAGACAATTTTGGAATAATGAAACAGCAGCAGAAAATCCAAGTGCGCATAATACTTTTCTCTTTTTTTTTTTTGCAAATACTTACCCCTAAAATGCAAACTGAACAAATTCCTTCCGCATTGCTAGCTGAACGCTGGTTTGTGATAACCGGAAAAGCTTAGTGTAAAGGACAATGTTTCACTTACCGCCTCCACTTCTGCTGGGTCATACCAGACATTAATGTACGGATGCTGTAAGGCCTCATCCACTGATATCCGTTTGGCTGGGTCAATCACTAGCATCTTTGACAAAAGGTCCCTGGCTTGGCTAGCTGGAGCAAGGAAACCAAGAGAGAAAATGTGTCAGAGCAGGAATCTCCACGCCGGGAAGGGGGTGAAGAGACAATCAACATGCTATCAAATTCAGACAAGTTAAAGCCAGGCAATGCGCTAAATTATTGCACAGCAAAATGCACTTTAACGGGCAAAGAGAGAGCTAGAACATGGATAGATGTCTCTGGTAGATGTCTCTGGTAAACCTTGTTGTCATTCATAGTAACCATTCCAAGATGAAGTTTATAGTTTTCATTTATAAAAATGGAATTAGATTAACACATCCACTTTCCCCTTCTATGCTCTTTATAATGAGTCAATATTCTTTGTATTAAAAAAAAAAATTCATTGCAATGAGCACTCATACTATATTGTGGGTGCCTTTTGCGGGATCGCGTGTGGTGCTGCAGTTCCACACTTTTTCTGGGTCTGCAATCTCACGCGGGTCACATGACTTGTGCAGGATTTCAGACCTGGAAGATGGTGTCCTAGATTTGGGTCACATCACCTTGGAGAGTATGCAATTCTCAGCAATTGGCATTCTGGGGCCTAGAGTGCCTCAGACAGTCGAGGCAGAACACAACACTTTTTGCCAACATCTGCATTCCTTTACATTCTCTTCCTCTGAACAATCTCTCTTCTCTGCAAAGTTGTCATTTCTACTGACTGTTCTCAAGTTTAAGAAGTAGGAATTTAGCATATCCCTTAGCTACAATGCTGATAAGGCTGATGGGATGGTAATTAGCTGTGAGGTGCCTATCCTTCTTCTAACAGAAGAACAGTCCCTGATGGAATCACACTGGCAGCATTCCCAAAATGGAATAATTTATAAATAGTTTGACCCTACTGCATTCCTGATAATTTAAAACCCCTCTCTAGGGATTATATCCCCCCTCAGAAGGGTAATTACTAGACAAGTAATCAACAAATCCAATCATATTGGAGTCTGAAGCAGGAGACCACAATTCAGAATCACAAAAATACCTTCCAGGTCTCTGGGAATACACCGGTGAAAATTGGAGAAATAATATTATTATTCCATAATGATAATTTTACTATTTATGCCCCGTCCATCTGACTGCATTGCCCCGGCCACTCTGGGCAGCTTCCAACATATATAAAAAAACCTAGTGAAACATTAAAAATTTTAAAAACTTCCTGATACAGGGCTGTTTTCAGATGGCTTGGGGATCAGGTAACATACCCTCCAACATTTCTCCAAAGAAAATAAGGATGTCCTAAGGAAAAGCCAGATATTCCTGGGTCAAATAAAATACTGGGATGGCTTCTGTAAATTTGGGACTGTCCCCAGAAAATAGGGCCACTTGGAGGGTCTGCTGGACTTGAGACACCCTGGTTATTAATGGTTTGGAGGCCTAATAATAATATGTAATATTGATTTATTTCTTACCTGCCCTTCACCCTAAGGTATTAGGGTGGGTTACAGTATTACAAAACAATATTAAAACAACTTACAACCATAAAAATAAGGTGGGTCCTAATGGGACGCGGTTGGCACTGTGGTCTAAACCAGTGTTTCCCAACCGGTGTTCCGCGGCACACTACTGTGCCGTGAGACATCGGCTGGTGTGCCGTGGGAGGGAGGCGGGCGAGAGGCGGCGGCGGCGAGGATCCGGCGGGGGTGGGGGGAGCGGGGGCCGTCGCGCGCAACCGAACTCACTTGGCGCGCTGCCGGCTTGTCCTCCTTCAACCCGGGTCGGGCCAGGCCTGCTCACGTCCCCGGATCCCCTAGCAGCAGCCGCACGCTCTCCAAAAGCGCAACGCTGCGCGCAACCGCTCGGCCAGCTGGTGCTCTGCGACTCCGCCCTTTCCCCTCCCAGCGCCGGAGGGTTCGCGCGACCGCAGCTGTTCCCTTTCGCAGCGCGCGGGAAACAATTCCAGGCCGATTGCCTTGTGCCGAAAAGCACCGCCTCTCCTTCCAGCTCAGGCCCGGGCCGCCGGCTCCCCGAATGACGTCACGGGGGCGGGGCTTTAATGGTGGTGTGCCGCGAGATTTTTTTCCGGTAAACAGGTGTGCCGTTGCCCAAAAACGTTTGGGAAACACTGGTCTAAACCACTGAGCCTAGGGCTTGCCGATTGGAAGGTCAGCAGTTCAAATCCCCCTGATGGGGTGAGTTCCCATTGTTCAGTCCCTGCTCCTGCCAACCTAGCAGTTCGACAGCACATCTAAGTGCAAGTAGATAAATAGGCGAGAAGGTAAACGGCGTTTCCGTGCGCTGGTCTGGTTTCGCCAGAAGCAGATTAGTCATGCTGGCCACATGACCCGGAAAAACTGTTTGCAGACAAACGTCAGCGCCCTCGGCCAGTAAGTGAGATGAGCACTGCAACCCCAGAGTCATTTGTGACTAGACTTAACTGTCAGATGTCCTTTACCTTTACCTTTAAAGAACGTAAACCTCAAGTGATGAAAGCTATGGTAAAGAGGTGCACCTTTAGCATTCTTCAACAGTAGTATAGTGAAGCATCTCTGTGAGGAGCGAGTTCCACAGCTTAGGGGCCACCACAGAGAATGCCCTGCCAGCTGCCCCCAAACCTCTGAGGGTGTAGGAACAAACAAGAGGGTCTCCTCTACTGATCTCAGGAGGGTCTGTATGGAAGGAGGCAGTCTTTCAGATATTTGGGACCTGAGTTCGTTTAGGGATTTAAACAGCAACCTTGAATTCGGCCTGGAAACAAACTGGCAACGAATGCAGCTGTTTTAAAACAGGGGTTATAGGAGATTTAAACGGAGGAAGGATAGAAGAAAAACAGGAACTGGTGGAGCTGGTTTACTAATGAGTGCCCTGGCTTACTAAATCGTTTATCTATTTCTATTATTTCTATGCCATCCTTTACCCAGTGATCTCAGGATTTGTTTTAATTGCCCTCGCTGGATGAAATCCAATAACTGTTTTCAAAAAGTAAGTGTGCCCATGGTTGAAAACCACTTAAATATGGCATCTATTTCTCAACAAGGAGTTTAATTGCAGGATGAGAGTCGTCTGATAAACTGACCTTTTTTCCTTTCCAGCACACCCTCAACCAGCGTTATGATTTTTACCCTCAACTGCCCTTAATTAAAATCAGCACTTATGTGCAGGAAAAAGAACTAATGGATTAGCGGATAAAGGCTCGCAATTCTCACAAACAGCCTCTGTTGCGTAAAGACGTATGAATTAGAAACATCTCCAGTTCATTGTAAAAGTATTTACTTCTGACAGTCCAGGGTGGGTATATTTTAGGCAATTTGGACAGGATTCAAAAATGGACCCTTGTCTTCTTTCCTTGGCGATCCCTCATAGGCGAGTAAGATTGTCTTCCATAAACACGGTTTTAACAATGAGTCCGTAAGTGACTGTGGAGGCCAATTCTGGATCCACACTTCCTTCCACAGTGGGGACATAGGTTTCCGGGCGGGAGCTGATCACGGTGTGGATTTGTCAAGCATGCCTTCCTCTTAGCGCGTTGCTCCCTTGCATTCTGAGTTCGAGTGTCTTCAAAGCCCATGACACCTTTGGTAAAGGCTGTTCTCCAATTGGAGCGCTCGCAGGCAAGTGTTTCTGTTGGTGTTTATACTACATTTTAAAAAAATTGCCTTGAGACAGTCTTTAAACCTCTTTTGTTGACCACCAGCATTACGCTTTCCATTTTTAAGTTCGGAATAGAGTAGTTGCTTTGGAAGACGATAATCAGGCATCCGTTGGTGGCTGCTAGCAATGCAGAGCACCATCAGAATTTTACAGAATCGTCAGATGAAACATTATCTCCAGTGCTTTCTCTGCAGACAGCAATGTAGGTAAAAAAATACCCATCTGAAGCACAGGACCCATTCCGTTCAAGGATTTCAAATTTAAGTTGCACATCGATTCTGACATAGCTACTTCTGCAATGTTAATATGGCCATCTTAAGACTGCCTGGAGGGATAAAAAAGTAGCCATCCAGCTTGATCCCTATTTTGATGGCAATAACTACACCTCTGTTCCTGGTATGAAGAAGCAATAATATCAGCATCAGAACCCAAACCTGTCAGATTACTGCAGCATCACTTGCCTAAATCCACTCTATTTTCAGCGAAGTAATTGCCTCTGTGTTACAGAAAGCCACTGAGCAACAAGCCGACAAAGAGATGGCTATTCGTATCTCCTAGGAATTGTTGAGCCTCTGGGAGTCGCCAGTTAAACATGGAATCTGGCCAAGAGAGGCCAACCCTTGAGCCACGCTGACAGAAGGAGCTTCATTAATTTCCCAGATGAAAGCTCATTTGAATGACGGACAAGCAGGAGGAATGGCAGAATTTTCTCTCTCGTTCTCCTGTACCTGTCAATCAAAGCACTCATACTGTCACACCAAACGTGGGTGTGAATCCAGTTCTGTTTTCCTCGTGGAAAAGGATTTGTGCCATCAAAATATTGTTAATGTTAATTTTTAAAAAGCTATCCATATGCTAAGTGCTCTGTGCACGATAGTATCCTTCTTAATTATTGGCACATTAATTCCATATCTGACATACAAAAACCTCCACTCGGTCACCGTTCACTGGGTGTTTTTAAAGAAGCAACCAAACTGCATGAGTACGGGTAGCAAAAATATTCTGATGGTATGCCTTTCTTCCAAGTACAAAGGAGTATTTATAGCCGTGCACATTTATTCGGGATGAATCCAGAATAAATACCATCTTCTGGGCCCGTACTTCTAAAAGCTTAATGCAGGTTAGAAGTATACGTGCACACATTTATTGAAGGGGGGGCAGGGGCGAAGCTGCATGCTCCAGTACCAGGGGCGGAGAGCAGACGGGGGCATGGCTGGTGCATGCCCTGGGGGCGTGACGTGCATGCCGGGGGTGTGGCACGCCACCCGCGGGGCATGACATGCGTCCTGGGGCGTGGCACCCAGCATGGTGGTGGGGTACGTGGTGCATGTCCGGGGAGGCAGCCACAATGGTACCCCCTCCCCAATGGTGCCAGGGTCAGTGCACTCCCCCTACCCCCACATTCCTCTGCCAGTGTGGTGGGGGGGGGAAGCCACCCACATCCCACACTTTCTGCTCATGAAGCAGAGGTTCACCTACAAATTACACTGATGCAAATTAAGAACAGGGCAACTCCAGCCCTCCAGATGTTGCTGAGATCCAATTCTCATCACTGAAGATGCTTCCTAGGACTGGTGGAAGTTGTAGTTTAGCAACATCAGGAGGACCAAAGGTTCCCCACCCACAGGTAAAATAAACCTAATTTGGATATTTGGGCTGGGACCCAGATTTCAAGGTGTCTACTAACTCCCCCAGAGCTGCAATTTACCCCTTCCAGAGATTCTCCCAAACTTCGACAGAAGCTTTTCAAGGGGTACCAGGAGGTGCAGCAGAAAGTAGAAGAGGTCCTTTGCACAAGGTGAACACCGCACACAAAATCTTGCTGTCTATCCTTGGGGGTTCTGTTTAATTTTGGTCTTTGTTGTTACAGTGGTGCCTCGCAAGACGAAAAGAATCCATTCCACGATTCTCTTCGTCTAGCGGTTTTTTCGTCTTGCGAAGCAAGCCCATTGACAGCTTAGCGGATTAGCGCTACAGCGGTCTAGCGGCTTTTCACGATCAGCTGTTAAGCGGCTTATCAGCGGAACAGCTGATAAGCGGCTTAGCGCCTTAGGAAAAGGGGGGGAGCGGAAAAAACCCGCGGGGACTCGCAAGATTTTTTCGTCTTGCGAAGCAACCCCATAGGGAAATTCGGTTTACGAAGCGCCTCCAAAACGGAAAACCCTTTTGTCTAGCGGGTTTTCCGTCTTGCGAGGCGTTCGTCTTGCGGGGCACCACTGTACTTTTCAAATGTCAGGGGAGGGGAAGAATGGAAAGTGAACAGAGAAAAGGAAGAAATCAGAGGTGTCATACATCAAAAAGAAAATGGATCTGTGGGGTAGCTTAGTAAAACTAACAGCTGGAACTGATAGAAAATTTGCTCAAAGGGGCAGCACCCATGAGCTAGTCATGTGAATCCCCATTTAACCAACATGTCATGCGGTGTCTTGTATCATCACCCACAAAGCATACATTAAAGCAGTTGGAATAGTTCTGCTACAATTGTTCTTGTAATCACCTTTTTTTTTGTACCTACAAGTGAAAGAAAGAGCAAGGGGCTTTGAAAATTATTGCACTTAAACAGATGATAGGTTGAGCAGCTTATGAATTCTGCTGAAAAAGTAATGAACATAAGGAACTTCATGACCATAAAGGAGGTTCCATAAATTGCTTCCACAGGTGACAGCCAGATATCAAAATATCACCTTCTGCTACAGGACGGAGCAGTTTTGGTTTCCAGCATGCCAAACACCTTCTTTAAAAGGTTTGAGGGCATTTCGTCAAGAGAATATATTTTTAGGAAATAGATCAGGGCAGGAAATCAGGACTGGGGATGGGGGAGCCATATATGCATGCATGCAAAAATATGTTTGCTTTCATCCAGGGAGTGAAAGATCTTAATTATCTTTCTCTCTGCATCTGCTTCAAATCCCTTGTAAGTCCATTATTGTGCTTCGTTATTGTGGTGGGCTGGGGCGGGGAAGGGAGGGTGGGATAATAGAGTGCTTCTGAAGCCATTTGGCCAGACCTTCAATCACCCCCCAGAGTGCAGACAAACAGCCTTGCTGTATGATGGGAAAAGGCATTCTGGGTAATGACATGCAAATTGCCGCAGATTAAAAAACATTATGCATCACCGTTACAGGCAACCTTGGGAATCCATGTGTGCAAAACTGATACACACTTTTGGAAGGTTCCAAAACGCTAATCGGAAACCTTTTCTGTACAAAACACACACATCAGTCGCTTTTTTCTCGGAAAAGCTTGGCGTCCCTGTTGAAGTTAACCGCGGCCTCCGCTGATGTTTAAAATCATCTTGTCACTGCAGACAATGGCATCTGCTCATCTAGTGCCACTGTAATCAAGGCAGGACTGGGCTTCCAGTGTCAGACTTTGGCTGAATGTGGCACTGTGTGCTTCTCAACTGACAAAAGCCTGAAACCAGAGCAATTTGAACCAGCAGCCCTCCCAATTTAATTCTTCCCAGGAAGGTCTCGTGCATTTTTGTACACAGCTTACGGGGATTTGCTTCAAACAAAGGATGGGGAGGTGCTGGGACCTAATCCAGTCCCTTCCCCACGCGCAGCATTGGGCACAAGAATATGGTTACCAGATTTTTTTCAATGAATCCGGGGACATTTTATTTTATTTTTTGAAGCTGAGTAGCAACAGGGAGTCAGTAGTGGGGATGGTGAGGCAAAAGGCCCTGGGTCCAAGCACACATGCATATTGTATAAAGGTGCAAAGCCCTTCTTTCACACCCTATGAAGCATAAATGTGCAGGTTTTTTTAAAACTGAGCAACGGCGCGCTGCCCGCCCATGACTCCCCCGATCTCCTTCCCCCTTCCCCCTTTGTTTTGACTGATCAGGGGAAGTTTAGGAGTCATGGGTGGGCGGCCGTTGCCCAGGAGGGGCCAGCCTGGTAGTGCAGTTGGCTCTGGCTGGTTTCAGGAGCTGCTTGCTGCCATGGCGCAGGAAAAATGGCGGGCACCACGGCAGCGAGCAGCTCCTGAAGCCAGCCAGAGCCAACTGAGCTACCAGGCTGGCTCCGAGCTGTGTAGACTGCCACTGCCACGTTTCCCGGGGACAGATTTGCACATCTGGGGACATTCCAGGGACAGAATTTGTCCAGGGACAGATTTGCAAATCCAGGACTGTGCCCGGGAACCAGAGACGTCTGGTAATCCTACACAAGAAGGCCGCTGAGAGCATGGAGGAAATTGGTAATGGACAATTCATCTATGCAGGTGGGGAAGATGTTGGCAGAAGGCTTAATTAACCCTACAGTGCTTTCCTTGGTGCGCAGGAAGTTGCCTTATGATGATTCAAGGCTTTGATTCCTCTAGCTCAGCACTGTTTACATTGACCTGGAAGCAGCCCTCCAGGCTTCCAAGCAGGAGACAGTGCTATTTGGGGTGTCTGGAACTAGACCTGCCTGAGCTGACACTGGTGGTCCCAGAGGTGGTGTTGAAGACTCACAGACCGCTGGTCCTGAGGGACATCAACATCCATGCTGAGGCCCCTCACTCAGGGCATGCCATGGCAACCATGACACTATCTGCAACATGTCACCAGCCCAAGGTGCTGGCTGGGCAAGAAGAGCATGATCTGAGAACAGGGGATATTCATATCAGCCCCTTATCATGGTTGGATCACCTCCTGTTGGGGATTTAGGTGTTCAGCAGTTTTCCCCTCCTGCAGAGGAGGAGAGGGACCTATTCAGATGGTCTGCCTTCAAGGCTGGCAGATCCCTTTGGTTTCCAGATGGCTCTAGAGAACTTCACGGCTAATACAACTGGTTCTCCTGCTGAAGCCCTGGCTGATCCGTGGAATATACAGATGGCCCAGGCTGTTGACACAATCGCCCTGGGGTGCCCTCTTCCACTTGATGGAGCCCAGCTGGCTCCTTGGTATACAACAGAGCTGAGGGCAATAATACGAGCCAGGAGAGGAGCTTGAACACAAGTGGAGAAAAACTCCAGATGAATCAAGCAGACCCTCGTGAGTGCTGATCACCGAGCCTGCTCAATGGTGGTGAAAACAGCAAATAAGGCATACTTTGCTGTTTCCACTGCAGCCTCACTGTGTTGTAGTAGAAGGGCCTTTTACAGTTTGGCCTGAAGGAGGTGCTAGAATGGGTAGTGGCTCATTGTGACCTGTTTGCAAAACACGTCAAAGATAAAATCCCTTGCATCTTCCAGGACTTCCGATTCCACTGTGATTCTTCAAATCTGTTTTTATATTGTAAACTGCCCTGTGATCCTCAGGTGGAGGGCGGTACAGAAATTGATAATAAATAAAATTGCTTCACTGTTTGTTAATGGGACAGCGGCAGAGACTGAACAAAAAATAGTTGGCAACTTTTCCTTTGAAATGTGGAGATTTGACCACAACCTTCTAGCAGGCTACTGTCCCTGTGACATTTTTGGTAGCACGGTTAGTAAACGTGTCACTTTGCACTGTTTTCATGTAGGTACTTTAAAATACCTATGAGCTTGTCTCCAGCTACTTGTGTGCATGGGTTAATGGAGGACACATTTTCCAAGGCATGGTCTAAAGAGGAACATGATGCAGTAACCTTGCTGAAGCTATACATAGATTTAGGTCTGGTCAGTGTCTGGAAGGCTGACCGCTATGTATGCTGCCTTGAGTTCCATGATGGAAGAAAGAGGAGAAATAAACGTAATCAAGACATTTCAAATGCAAGGCATGCCTAATCTCATAGAACCTGTTCATGCATGGTTCATACCCCTCCTTTACTCTTACCTTTGAGTTTGTTGTGTTCTGAATCGGCTGGGAAGAGAGAGTCTGGGAAGAGTTTGGGGAAAGTGAGGCCGGCGTATTTAGGTCGGTTTTCCACATAGTTCCGCACTGTGGGCTGGAGTTTCTTCATGAATTCTGGGCAGGGGGTTCCGAGCTGTTCAATTACCTTATTCCACTGGTCAATATCTGAGCAGAGCTAGTTAAGGAAAGAAGAGGTGCAGATTCCCCAACCCCATCCTCAAGCAATCCAAGGCATTTCTCCCAGTTTCCAAGTGATTGGCACATTTGCTGTCTGAAGAAGACCGATGTGGAAACTCGAAACTAGTGGTTCACTTTGGGAGCAATATCACGTTAAAGCAATACCATCCGCCACCCACATAATCCCAACATATTCTATTAAAGCATGATTTTGCCTCACTGGTTTGGATGGGATTATGCCGAAATTTGTACTCACTTTGTGGTTCAGCGCCCATCACATACCTGCACTGCTCACAACTCCCTGCCTTTCCATTCTCGCCCCATCACTAGCTTAGAGGTGCTTTATTACAATCATGTGGAGTACTTTTCATGCCACCATTGGCAGCCCTAATGGGGAAGGACAACCAACATGAATTATCCACATGACCGATCCATCCATGTGATCAGATCATCCAGACATTGCCAAGATGGTGTGGGAGCCACCGACGAGGCAATAACTTTGCAGTGGCAACTATATCAACAACTGAACCACAAAGGTAATGCATAAATTGGCTTAAATAAGGCTTAGCATCAGGATCCCATATCGACCACGAGTTTCCTCATGAGGTATCCAACTTTCTCAAAGCCTATTATTCGAGCAAAGTAGTTCTGCTTGTTGTTACACTCAGAGAACTCAACAAAGACAATGGAAGTACATTGCATGAATGCATCAGGGAATGAATGTAGTGCCAGCTTGCTCTATTCATCAGAACTGAATTGAACAGAAGTGAATTGAAAGTCCAGAGGTATACAAAATTGTGTGACCTCTTTGCAAGACCTCTCTGCCAAGGTAATTTCACCTCTCTTTTTTGCACCTAATTATTCATGAGGCACCTTGTATTATTTAAAAGCACAGGTTCTTCTAGGAAATAAGATGCTGCATAATGGAAGACACTTACCCAGAATAAGTACCAGTAGGTAGAAATGCAGGTAATTTGTACACATGCATGAAGGTACGTGCATTCTATCTGTCAGTTTCATGTAGCAACCACTACTGGGGCAGAGATATAATTCTTGCTAAACCCAAATGTTCCAGCTTCATCTTCTTTGTACAATTTTAAAAATATGGTTTGGCTTCCCCATGACAGAAAATGAACCACGATGTCCATTTTTTTCAAGCCCAAGTACTTCCACATGGAAATGTGTGGCAACCACACTCTAGCTTCTTGGGCAACCATCACTACTCCTTGTTGCAATGAATTGGTGGTTGTTAATAAAGCCCTAAATGGCCTTCCAGGCACATTCCAGAACACAGAAGCCTTAAAATCTACAATGAATATGGTCAAATCACGTGAAAATAGGGGCATTGCTGTATACATTTTATATCCTGATTCTCACACCAAGCAGCGTCGTTTGAAGTGCCCTGCTCACATATGCATCACTGCTCATAGCTGAAGTGTCTTATTTCTTCCTGTTTCCTAATACTAGAACCCGGGGCCATGCAATGGAGCTGAATGGTACAAGATTCAGAATGGAGCAAAGGAAGAATGTCTTCAGGCAGTGCATTAAACAATATAATCTGCTGCCACAAGAGGTAATGATGGGAGCCAATTTCAACAAGTGGATTAGACAAATGCATGGAAAGTGAGGCTATCAATAGCTACTAGTCACAGTGGCTAAATGCTAGGACAAGAGGCAACATGCCTCTTCATACCACTGGGGATCAACAGCAGGACAGGGCTATCCACCCTGGGCTTCCCAGAGGCACCTGGGTAGCCACTGGGCAAACCAGGATGCTGAACTGGACAGGCCTTTGGTTTGATCCATTAGGGCTGCTCCTCTGTTCTCGAAGGTTCTTACTCTGCCATAGTTTGTCCTGATTTGAAACAAAGAGGGTGATAGTTCTTTGGTTAAACATATACTAGAAAACAAAACAAAACTATTCGTTGTTCAAAATGAATCTCACCAGCGCAGTCCATGAAATGGCAAGCTGCGCACGTCATTCTGCACTTATGAGCCTGCATTGGCATGCATATGCTCTAGGAGCAAGAGTAGGCTTCCTCAAACTCAGCCCTCCAGATGTTTTTGGCCTACAACTCCCATGATCCCTAGCTAGCAGGACCAGTGGTCAGGGATGATGGGAACTGTAGTCTCAAAACATCTGGGGGGCTGAGTTTGAGGAAGCCTGAGTAGGAGTGACATCCATCCAACCCCAACTGAGATATTTGACGTCTAGTGACCAGGGAACCAGTAGAACAAACCCTGGAGACTTTAACAACTAACCCTAATGCTTCTTAAAGATGCCCGCAACCATCCTCCCCCCAAAAAGGCAAAAGTGATTCACTAGTGAGATGTACCAGGAAAATTAGGGATGTCCCACCACTGTGTGAGATTGGGATGGAAGTGGGGAGGAAGAGGCCAAGAATTCAGCAGACATTGAGTGGAACATACTGCTCACATTCCACTGGGTAGAGTAGGGTAGGGTGAAGTTGAGAAGCAACAGATTGATAAAGCTAAACTAGGGTAGTTTAACAGAGCTCTTGTTAAAAAGCTGGAGACAGGTAGGAAAGATGTTGGGGACTATTGTTAAGTATGGATAATTACCTGCCAACATCTACACCCCATCAGGAAGCCCAGTGTTGACCCACCCCCATACCCCTCACTTTGATCATCTAGCTGGTCAATACTGCCTGCCCACTTGCCCTCTCCAAGCATGTGAAGAGTGACAAGCAAGGAGGCGGAGGAAGAGAAAGGCATCCACTTGCCTTGGTCTCTACTTGTTGGAAGTGGTATGGATTGGCCCAGAGGAGTGGGCAAGCAAACAGGAAGTGGTGACCATGGGAAGGAAGCAGGGGGAGACCCAAAGGCCTCTTGACTAAGTGCCAACTCCACCCCCCATAAACCTGGAACTGACACTAGACAGTTCTTTTGGGCACAGAAATCAGCATGTTGGAAGCCACAGAGATGAATGCCAGACATGTTGGGCTCATTTTATATAAATCGCATGGATGAGGAAAGAATATTTTTTAATACTCGGAGAAAATAGGCTGAGTTATTGCCACTGGCTTAGCTACTTTCCAGTTAAGGAGGACACCACCTCCTTCCCAACACAAGAAGGCCCTTCTTCCATCAATTTTGTGGCATCTCTAACTTCTAATTCTTTTCACAATGAGAGTGGGAGAGACACATAAAACCGGCGCCCAATCTCAACTACATATAAAGTACCTGAAGCCCCACTAATACTGAGAGGAATGGAGAAACTGGCAGAAATATAACCACCCTCACAATCACGATCAGAAAATCATCTACTCAAGGACAGGTACAACAAGTAACTTGATACCTTTGATTGGGCCACTCCTGCCAGTACAGCAGTGGGAAAGGACTTTTGATTGTAACATACGGAAATGAAAGCACAACGGGAATATTAGGTTATTATAGAGCAATCCGCAACCCATATCAGTATATACAGCCCAAAGATTAGATCCACTGAGATTAGGTGAAGGCATGAAATGCTTTAATAACAGGCTGGGTACACGCAGGTTGGCTCAAAAACACACCAATACTTAAAGCAGCTGCAAATATGGGTCACAGCACAGCACAAATTCTAAGCATTTTGTCTCCTTGGGGAGTTCACAGCACAAATACCCATGCTGTTGGGCCACCCAGAAGGCTCACTGTGCTTTATAAAATGCCCAGGGAATTACAGGATCACCAGCCAACGAGACATATACTACTCACAGAGGGGGAAATACAAATGCAGTCATTTAGGTTCATTCCAGCTTGCGGTTTCTGGTTCGCTGACGTTACTAACAGTGTAGCGCTAAGAGACACTGTTCTAGCACACGGATACGGAATCAGGAACATGGCGTGCTAAGACTATGTAGCATCACAGTCCAGGGCACTGCAAGCAGTACTCAAATTATTAGGGTGGAGGGAGGAGGGATGGCAAGCTTTCATGAAGTTCACCTGTTCCAACCTGCTCGTCCCTTCCAATTTTAGCCACGCCCCCTCCATTTTTGCATTCTAATAACAGTATCTAAGGGGAGCATCAAAAAAATGCCAGGGGCCTTCTTTCGCACTATGTGAAACTTAAATGCGCAGGGGAGAATTAAGATTAGTAGGATGTATGGTGTAATGTTAAAAAAAAACCCCAAAAAACTAAGAGAAATCCCCAAACACCTTCCAGCCATTGCATTTATTACCAGTATTCTTTTAAGTAAACAGTGTGTTCTTCTGTTAACCCCACCCTCTTCCCATCCCTACGGAATCTAGCATTTGCGATTTTTGAAAGCATGAACAAGCACAGATCCACAAAGGAACATCTGCACTGGTGCCAGCACTTCTTGGATCTGTCTAGATTACCTGACTGTTTGTGTACGTCTGACAGGGTAAGTAACGAAAGCTGCTACCAAATTAGAGTTAGCCATGAATTTCAACATCCTGTTATGCTTTGCCCTACCTGGTTATTGATGGGCATGGTGGACCTTGTTATGGCACGACCTGGTTATTGGTGGGCATAGGAGCCAACTCCTAGAGGCTGAGGTCCCTTTGGGCTCCCCAATAAAATATTTGAGCCCCCCTTCCCAAAAAACCCCCACTGATGGGCATTGCTGTTCAAATGGTATATGCCACATCTTCTGCCCACCTAGAAATATCTTATTCAAGTTGGTACCCCTGTAGGTGTCTCTGCTTTTTAAGATGCTGTCACCTTGCCAACAAAGGTCTGTATAGTTAAAGCTATGGTTTTCCCAGTAGTGATGTATGGAAATGAGAGCTGGACCATAAAGAAGAATTGATGCTTTTGAATTATGGTGCTGGAGGAGACTCTTGAGAGTCCCATGGACTGCAAGAAGATCAAACCTCTCCATTCTGAAGGAAATCAGCCCTGAGCGCTCACTGGAAGGACAGATTGTGAAGCTGAGGCTCCAATACTTTGGCCACCTCATGAGAAGAGAAGACTCCCTGGAAAAGACCCTGATGTTGGGAAAGATTGAGGGCACAAGGAGAAG